CTTTCCCTATCTCTCGGCGCCACCCTCGGTCGCGACGACTCCTGTCGAGGCTAAAAGAACGCAAGTAGATGTGTCTCGACACGGTCAGACCGCGAGTAGAACGAACCTCTTCTTCGTTCTACGTCTTGCAACGATATCCCGCGGCTTCGTGTTCTCTGTCCAAATTGAATCAGTCATTCAGGATCCTCCGATATCGTTTCTCCTCTCGTTATTCTCCGCTATTCTTTCATTTATTCGCGAAACAAAGGACGCACACGCTCGGCGAGAATTACAAGGTTAACGAGCCTATTCATTTTGGACAAAGAACAAACTCGAGTCTTAAAAAGAAATTTGCTCGCTGTTACACGGCTGATCGAGCCTTTACAAAATTACTATATTCATCGATCGACGTACAATTGATTTTTCCGAGTGCCATTTTAACGGTCGTTTTCTATTTTCGTGAAAGTTATTGCGGAAAAGTCGCATCATCTATTTACCGTTCTGATTGCCTCGACACGTTCGTTTCTCTACGCTCTCCTCTCACGCTGTTCCTCCTACGATCCTGAGTGGCTCTCGTTTTTACACGCCATCGTGTCTCGACGCTGCCTAGGAAGGATCGCTGTAGATCAGAAACAAGTAACTTTCGACTCGCGCGCTCGGAAGGCTCGACGCTCGGCGTTCCGTGATCGACATGGCGCTTAACCGATCGCAGCAAGCCTACCGGGTTCACGGAAACCCACCTCGGACACCCGACGAAACGACAAAAGAAAAGAGAAGAAAAAAAAGAAAAAAAAAAAAAGAAAATAATAACAGTAACAATAAAAGACACAGTGGATCATTTCGATCGTTTCACGAGTTTGATTTATACAATATGTACAGTCGCAGATAACGCAGGATCTGCGCGAGCAGAACCGCGTCGCGTTACAAGATAACACAGCATCGATATACGGATCGATCGCGGGAGTGAGCTGGGTCGACAAAACGATCCTTACGTTTACGTAATAATTACAGACTTTCGTTCGGGTTAGAAAAAGCACATCACGTGACGATTAGGTCGCTTATAATACTTTATTATTTCCTTACAAAATCATCCTAGAGATGGGACGTTCGAACGTGTATAATTGGAGAATTCGTTTTGCTTTACACAATAACGTGTCGATTTGTATAATAACGGGTTTAAAAAAAAAAAGAAAAAAAAAAGAAGATGCAGAAAAATGTAGGAAACGATAATAATAATAAAAAGTACCGTTTAACGTTCCGTACGTGTGAGAACGTAACAAGCCGAGAATAAATTAGTTGGCGTCTGGTGTGTGTGTGTGTGTGTGTGTGTGTGTGTGAGTGTGTGTGTGTGTGTGTGTGTGTGTGTGTGTGTGTGTGTGTGTGTGTGTGTGTGTGTGTGTGTGTGTGTGTGTGACATCGAGAAGAAACCAGGACGCCATTGGTCGTGGAGACGCGCGAGAAAAACCCGGTAGACTTTGTACGCTCGCGTTCCCGTCGTCTCACGTTCGTCGAACGCTCGGTTCCCGTCCGCGAGTCCCTGTATTTTTCTTTCAGAAACGCCAAAGGTAACTTTCACTTAACGAGTACGATTAATTAACGTTTGCAGAAGGTAAACGAAAGAGACGAGGGGGGGAAAAGAAGAAAAAGAACACGACGAGGAGACGAAGAAAAGGGGAGAAGCGAAGGGTGGAAGTGGACTTAAAAACGAATTAGCCTACAGCGGTTTGTACACGTTGGAAGGAAGAGAAAACGAAGAACGAAAAGAAAAAGAGAAAAAGAGAAAAAGAAGAGAAACGACAAAGAAGAAAATAACGGAGAAAGGAAGACAGGGAAGACGAAAGTTCTCGAAGAGAGGGAAATAGAGGGAAGATGATAAAATAAAATAAAATAAAATAAAATAAAATAAAAGAAATATGAATAAATCGTAATAATAATAGTAGCGGTAATAGTAACAGTAACGGTAATAATAATAGTTATAATAATAATAATAATAATAATCGTAACGGTACTACGCAGTTTCTGAGCGAAAAAATACAAGTTTACGTGCCCTTTCCTTTCCTTTCCTTTTTTTTCCTTTTTCCTCTCTCCTCTCTGTATAACGACGAACAATGACAAAGAAAACAGACGAAGAAACTTACACACGATCGCCGGCTAAAATCGCAGTTACTTGTTTCCCCGCTCGAGGATGCCGACTTTTTCAAAGCCGGCCTCCGCTCGCGTGTAAATTCAAGATCCGAAGCACAACGAGCGTCCAAACGAAGTCGGTTGTTTGGGCAATCGTGAAATCGGGTTGCGCAGGTCTTACAGATAAGATTAAAGATATTCCATTATCTCGTGTTACGAAATGGCCCTGCTCTATCGTCGTACATTTTCGTCAATACGGACGACACCGAAAGGAGAATTTTATGTACAATGCTGCGTAACCTAACAACCACTCTCGTTCGTCTTCGAATCGCAAATTCGACCGCTCGTGTCGCCTACCCCCCGCGGCTAGCTCCGGATACTCGAGGATCGCGCGACTTCTCGGCTGGATCGAAGGGCTCGGAAGAAGCTCGTGCGAGTCGACGAGCGGAAAACGGGATCATCGCGTCTTACACCCGACTCTCTCTCTCTCTCATTCTCTCTCTCTCTCCCTCTCTCTCTCTCTCTCTCCTTCTATTCGCATCGACGAAAACGTAAATCCCTTTGTACTTAATCGCGCGTATGAGACGACGGTCTCTGGTCGCATAATCGAATTGCAAGAAGAAGAATAATAAGACGGTGGAAATTAAATACAAACGCGGATCCTTTTTTTCTTTATAAATTAAAACGTTTATATAAAAGCTTCCATTTCCTCGGATAATCTAAGTTTAAAGCTACGGGGAACGAAAACGCGGGCACGTTCTCGCTAGTACGATTACGAGATAGATGAAAAACAAAAAAGAAACAATAATAATAATAATAATAATAATAATAATAATAATAAATGGGTGACTCTTTTTGACAAAATCAATTATGTAAGGAAAATTGACGACGAATCGCACTCGAAGACACGATGTCCGAAAATCCAGGGATTAAAACTTCTCTCTCAAAATAAAAAAAGAAAAAAAAGAAGAAAGAAAAAGAGAAAAGGTAGCCCCTTTGTCCTACGACATCGTCAGGACGAATCGTCGTCGTTGTCGTCGTCGTCATCATAATCATCATCATCATCATCATCATCATCATCATCATCATCATCATCATACATGGAAGCTACGCGCGTTGCCATGGAACGAGCCGGCAAGAAGAAAAGAGAAGTAGCAAGCGAAGAAGAAACACGACGAGCGACAGCCTCCTCGTTACTCGCACCACGTTCTCTCCACCCTTCGACGAGCCAGTCGCGAACGCGCGACGATCGGCCCCAAAAAGGTCAAGCCTCCAGGCTCATCCGCAGCGACTCTCTTCCTAGGTAGCTGCGACGCGCCACGTCGCAACGACGACGTCGTACGACACGCGACGCCCTCTTCGTCCTTACTCCCCGTCATCTGTCTTTCTCACTCTCTTTCTCTCTCTCTCTCTCTCTCTCTCTCTTTCTCTCCCTTTTTTTAATTCCCGGACGGTGGAACTCACCTTGACAGAGCAAGGCCCGGCGCTACTCGCGTACCGCTTTGTTCGTCAGCGTCGGGACGCCCTGCGCCGCGTCGATCGTTCAGCTGTCGACGCTGAAAAGCTCTTTGTGAAGGGCCGGGAACTCGAGGTGCGGCTGCGACCGTTTGAACTTCGCCAGGGCGTCCATGTGCAACAGCGATATCTCCCGGAGCTGCGGGATCTTCGCGAGGATCGCGTCGCACACCGTCACGTCGCCCTTTATGGGCGACACGTGGTTACGATCCAGCTCCGACCTCAGCGCCCTGATCACCGCCTGCGACAGTCTCGTGATTTCCGCGAGCCCTTTCAGCCCCGGCCGATCTGAAATTATTTTTGGACCTGTTTATTTCTGGCCACTCGCCTCTCTCTCAATCTCTCTCTCACTCTCTCTCTCTCTTTCTCTTTCTCTTTCTCTCGCACAGGGATGTTTACCGGGATTCGTTCCTTCCGCGGAGTCACCGATTCACCGAACGGACAGGAATGCTTTCGGAAGGGATGACGAAAGGAGAAGAGGAAGACGAGACGCCTCCGTCGAACGAGTATTTATAAGCGGCGATTAATTTCGTGGCGGAGCATAGCGACGAAACGGGACGAATCATGCGGCCGGGGTTAATTGAGGGTCCCGTGTTACTTGGATAATTTTGGAGAGTGAATCAGGGACAAAGGGACGGCGGGAATGCCGGGAACCTGATATCGCGGTATTTATAATGTCGTATGTTTTAAATAGGTGGTGTGATCCATGGGTCGATTCGATTAACGCCACAACTACCGAACCGGTCAAATCCACGTCGACTATTCCAGATATGCAGCTGTTTTTGACAAAGTTAATATTGATTTTTCTTCCAATTTGAACGTCATCGTTATCTATCTATCTACGTACGCCATATTCGCCGTTAACTTCGTCTAACGTAGATTCTTCCTCGATTTTTCTTCGTTTGTGTATCTTCGGAACGGGTTACGATAATCGTAGCGTTAAAGGAATTAATCCCTGACTAAGCAGTTTGCATGGTCTCGCGAATCTTTCCAATCGAGTTTAAGTTTTCTCCGTGAAACTGTGCGGTTAACTAGCTGCAACAATTTTAATTCCATCCTCTCTGTAGCTATCGAATCAATTACCGTCAGAAGGTACTCGACTGCGAAACGAATGAATTCTTTTGACTCCAAGGAGCAAAAATGTCAAAGGTTGTAATTGAATTTGTTTTGCTTAATGAGACGCTACTGTTCTTCGTTTTTCTCTGTTGTTTTTTTTTTTATTTATTTATTTATTTCTCTCTTTTATGCGCCGTAAAGGAATATCGCGATACGTTCCGCGGATGAGCGAAAGAGTGACTGAGACGGTACACGTTCGATCAGCGACGAGTGGTGGTATTTTTAAAGCGTTACGAGATCGGAGGAGAAAAATGGTTGGCGAAGTAGCGACAAAGCAACGGGTAAGGGCTAAAGGGATTAGAAAAGTTTGACTAACCGGGACTAAGGAGAACCGCTGCACTGTAAAGAGCCAGCTCTGTTTCCGTAAGCTTCAATTCGGCAATACTCCTGGCCAACTCAAACACGCAAGAAACAAGCTTCATTTCCGCCGTGTCTGTCGTGTAAAACGCGTCCTGTGGTAACATGGTGTCACCGTAGAGGACACAGTTCTGCTGGAGATCGAGGTACCTGCTCATACGTAGCACAGCCAACTCGAAGGAACCTGCAAACATTACGAACAGCAGTCAGCCATTTTGGAAAATTGCATTTTAGAAACCTAACATCCAGCGAAATTGTGATACGAATAACGAAAAAATATAAATAATTTTTGCAAGATATTTCACCCGTCGTGACTTCGTAATAGGTACTTACTTAGCTTTCTGTCAAAAGACAGTTTGAGAATCGTGACAGATTCTAGGAAAATTAATATCGCGATAATTTAAATAAAATTATCGCGTTTTGGGGAAAATTGTCATGTTTGATGCAATAAATCTTCCCTTAGGATAGTCTTAATTCTCCTAGTCGAAATTTATAATTTTCCTATTGACAGAGGAATATATGTACATTTAGTTGGCACGCATTCAATTTCATAACCTTTTCTTTGGCATTCCTAAAGATACGCAAGTTATATTTGCTCGCTATCGTATTATTTATCGTAATTTAGACAGCCTTAAAAATCGAAAAACCCGCCACGATACTGAACGCTGACGCGTGGTGGACTTAGACGTTTATCTGCCCATTCGTTACAGTTTTTCTTTCTTCCGAGATAAGACGCGAGACTAAGCGGGTATTTATTTAGCTCGAGCAATATTTACACCGTTCCATGCACGAGTAATTATGATTTACATTTGCATAATTCCTATTTACCAAGTCCAGATCCCTACATTTCACTGATAACGCGATTTCTCCTTTCTGTTGACAAGAATTACCTCCGCCTAGAGCTCCCCAACGAGGGCACACAATCGTGGAAAGGACTCGAAACGGGACCATAACGAAAAGACGAACTTTGACGAAACAAACTGACGTAAAGTACTCTTCGTGTACCAAAAATTCCGCGATTAACGACTGTTGGGATTATGGGTTCTAATAGCAAAATAACTACGATACATATAATGCAGCATGTAATGTAAACTGTTATCACAATGAATTCCTAATATTGACCAGAAAGTCAAAATTTCCTACCAACGTTAAAATTAAAATATCTCCTAAGTTAATTGTTGGAAGTCAGCTTTGTCCATGCAACGATGACGACAGGCCTGTTATAGGCTGCAGGCCAATACTTGGACTTCAAGGGGTAGGTTTTGGGGGTTTAAAAGGGCCTGCTGTCCCCCGGAGCTCTTCACTCTCAAATCAGGAACAGTACGGATATCTTGTATATTGTGACCCACAGTGGCATTTAAAAAGACTCTGGTATTTCATTTGTATATTGCATAAAGTGTATAAATTTCACGTATATTAAACCTTTATAAATACAATTGCTGTATAACTGAATACAGTTACTTCCCTGCACGTTAATCATTTGGCTATTTCCTTCACGAAATTCCCAACACTAATGATTTTTTAACATAAATACGTTAATATTTTTTGGTGAAAGAATACGAAGGAACATCAGCTGATGTAATAAAAAATATACGATTCCATTTAAAACAAAACGTCCATCTACAAAAGAACTAGTACCATCAGAATATGCCTCTCTCAAAACCATTTAACCTCATCTGAAACATTTTTCGCTATGCGTGATAATAACGACGTATATCTAGATGACAATACGTGGTGACCCACCCTGTATATATATATTCTCTGTCGAAATCTTTTATTTCTCACGGAAGGTATATGCTTCTCTTGAGAGACTGACCGACTCCCTAAGACACATGTGCAGCTGTATTCAACTCCTGAGAGTGTGTCAGGATGGTACGTTTCGCCTAAACCCCCAATTTTTATCGAACGTTCGTGTAAGCGTTCGTTCTAGGAATTTATATCTTCTAAACTATTTATTCGTATCTTATCTCCTAGATTGATTTTTGTCTTCGGCTAAACTTATCTGTTCGGCAACGACGACGAGAAGAAGAATTTACTCCGGAAGTGTATTTCGAAATGGGCTACTTAGGAAATGAAACTCGAGACACTCACCAGCCTTTAATAGAACAATCTGGTCGTCCTGCGAGAGCTTCATGAATCCAGGAACCATCTTGGCGAACTCGATGATCTGCTGGATAACGGTGGTTAGTTTTTGGGCGCACTCGAGCCAGAGCTGCTCGTGCGCCATGTTCTTGTAGTAGATCAATCTGGAGAGGTCGTGCTGCTTCCGGAAAGACTCCTGTATCTGTTCCGTCGACAGCAGACACGTTCTTGCGTGTGCATCCGCTATCGTTTTTGAGAGCAGCTCGCTGATCTGTGCCGGATCTACGAGAATCCATCGGGATATCGGGTTGAAATCTCGTTCGTCGATGTTTACGTCGATAAAATACCAAAGTAATTATCCAACGATTATCTTCTACTTATCGAAACGACTACGCGTTCACGAATATATGACACAGAGAAAAATCGTCGATATCTCGACGCGTGTAGCATGAGTCGTCGAATATATGTATATATGTATATATATAAGCGATAGATGGTTAAGAGAAAAAGAACACTACGGTTAGCTGATTGCTCGTCGTTTGCCAACTGTGCAATTATTGCTATCTCTCTCTCTTTCTCTCTCACTCTTTCTCTCACTCTTTCTCTCACTCTTTCTCTCTCTCTCTCTCTCTCTCTCTCTCTTTTTCTCGGTTATAGCACAACGATTCGAAATGGGAGAGCATGTTTTCCAGGTTAAGATCACGCGGACCAATATGGACCACCGAAAGCTATAGTCCAGTTCCTTGTAGATCTCCATAATTACCGCACTTCCAAAACTACATTATCGTTACTGGTTACCAGAACCATTTCACCTCGGCTTTCATGACGGCCAACTTTAAACGACCCACGCTTTCCCGCGAAGAATCGCTCGCGAGAAATTCCAACCCTTTCGTTCCATTCCTCCACCATTCGAATTCGCTACCCCCGCTGATTCTTCACTTTACTCGTAACTCTCGCGACCCTCGTCCAATATATCCCGCTATTTACTTATTTACGGACAAGTTTCCAGAATAATTTACAGATTCGCCCGTGAGTCGGTGCATACGGAATATCTTAAGAAGTTCAAGTTTCACGAAGTATAATATAACGTAACGCTGCACACATCGCGTGTTATTTACCACTATTGTCGTACGTATTACATCCGCCATTAACGGGAAATTAATTTTAATTTTATACGTAACGATTTAACCACTTGCGCTGGAAAGACGTGCCACGCACGTCGTAATGCTTTTGTCGCAGAATCGCCGACAACGTGGTATACACGTGGTCGGGCAATTGTCACGAAAGCACTGGACCGCTCTGGCACAGACGTCTATGAATTTCTTGCCAGCGCAAGTGGTTAAAGATTGATCTTTGGAATTTTTCGAAGCGACGATTAAGCGACCGACGTAATTCTATCTAGCCACGGAAAAGCGTGCTCTCCCATCCTCAAGAGTAAAGATCCAGAAGAAAAATGAAAAACGAAAAAAGAAAAAAAGAAAAAAAAACAGAAAAACCACCGACGAGTAGAGTTTACGAAGCTAACGAGAAGAAAAAGGAGAAAGAAGGGGTAGGAAAAAAGAGAACGAGAGAAAAAGCGCGACGCATGCCCATGCAAAGGGACACAAACGTAACCTCACATCTCGCATGGGACATACTGGGCAGACTCGGCACTTCGTCGTCCTCGGATGGATTGCTGACCCTCTGTTGCTGACCGCTCAGAAAGGTCGTCGAGTCGACCATCGTGTACGAGCCGTGGCCCAAGCTGGCCAGTTCGACGGTGGTCTCTTGCTTCACAGCAACGATTCCACCACCGCTCAGGGAACCGGCACCGCCACCGCCACCGGCGGCCGCACCACCGCCGCTCCCAGAACCGCTCCCTCCACCACCCGAGCCACCACCACCGGATCCACCACCGTTACCACCGCCACCACCGCCTCCACCGCCTCCGCCGCCGCTACTACCGCCACCGCTACCCCCCGTGCTGCTTCCGGTCGTCGAGGCAGACAGCGACTTCCCTGCTACGCCAAAAGTCAAAGTTCACTCGGTCTCTCTGCCTCTCTATCTCCTACTACGTGTTTCTCTCTTTTCTATCTACTTTTCTTTCTTTTCTTTTTGCTTTGCTTCATTTTTATTCCCCCCACCCCCACCCCTCCCTCCTTTTTGCTTTCTTTTATCGCTTCGCTTTTGAATCCCCATCACGCCGGTTTCTCCATCGCGACCCACCCCTCGGTGCCCCACACCGCAGCGATAAGAGGAAGCTACTTTCGGCGTTAGATACAAGCGGCCTGGAGTTTTTGGAAGGACAGGGTGGGCGGTTTGTTGGTTCGCTAAATTCACCGGGATGACACGGGATTTGCTGCGGGATTTGCAGATGAAACGGATGGCTGGGGCCGTACGAGGACGGAACGTGCTAGCACGCGATCGATGTCGTTTCTACGACTACTTCGTGGACTGCAGAATTTAAGGATCGCTGTGTTTTCGTTGTTTATGTTAGCCGAGGATCGGGTACAAGGTAGGGAGACACGTCGCGAGCTTTTTCGACCCTACGTGTTTGGAGACGCGGTCGTAGAGGGACAGTCTTTTGTACAAAGTGGTTAGGTATATCATGGCTGTCCAATCCGTGTACGGTCCAATATCCGGCCCAATTTTATATATAAAATCTCAAATGAAACGTGTGCAACGATGTCAATCTAGTTCCACGTTGCTGTCTTTGTAACAAAGAAAGCCATAGATTAACGAAGTATAAATTACTCGAGTATGTTAAACATTTATTTCACGCTTTTCCAATATGATTCGAAACAATTCGTTTTGGTAAAAGATTGGACAGCCTGAGATTTACGATTTTGTGAAGTATTTTGATCCTCTATGTTAGCAACTATAGTAACCATTAGGGTTATAATGGAAGGACAGAATTGGCTGTTAGGAAGTAATTCTACGTGAACCTCGATTGTTTAACACTTTGACTGCCACGGTTTCTTCTGTGACGCCAGGGTGGGCATTGATGACCGAAGCGCTTGAATTATGTACAATTGTAAAAATTAGTGGAATTGTCAACCGTTACCAAGGCGCCACGGTGGTCACCAGAGAAGATTCACCGTTATTTTTCCACTATATGCTTTGAATAATAAAAATACTGTCATGGCGTCCTGGGCGAAACACGCGATTTCAGCGTGGCAGTCAAAGGATTAAGAGAATCACTACCTTTTCATTCCCTATATTAGCAGATACAGCAACCATTAACTAAGGGAAAATGAAAATCACTGTTAGAGAAAGAATGTTCTATGCAAAATGACGCGTAACTATAAGCCGAACTATAATCGCTTTTCGTTTCTCCATGTTAGCAAATATAGCGACTATCGTTAAGACTAAACCTACCACGACCGTTCAAATGCGAAAGGAAAATGAAAAATTAAAATCTAAAATTAACTTATACGCATATCGGAAGAAAAATCGCGGAAACAAATAATCAAAGCGATAACGTCGAGTGTGGAATTTTTAATGAAAATTTGGAATTGCTCGTTTAGATGATGGTAGGTTTAGTGTCAAGCGTGGAAGAGTGTGAATCGCGTAATCGGTGAAAGACGAACGATTGCCAAACGATTCTGGAGGAATAAAAATTTTCGAAACGTCCGACATAGGCGTCGCGTTTCCTCGCCGCGTCGTGACGCTTTTCAGACGGCGACTCGATCGTGTCTTTACGACTGTATGGTTACTTCGCGTTATAGTATCGATATTATTCGGCGAATGCGCGGTGCAGTCAACTGGCAGTGATAAACACGGTAATTGTATCAGCCGCGTGCTACTGAAAGGGACCAGTACTACTTGGCGCTGCTTGTTCATCGATTGACATCTTGTTACCGCTCTTTCGTTAACAATAAACTTCAATGGAACTATAAACTCCGGGCTTGGCTCGGCTTCAGCTACGTCTGCCAGTCGGCCGGGTTCGCGTCGCGTTCCATCAAAATTGAAAATACACGCGGCGAGAAATTTGTGGACCGCGTTAACGTCGCGTCGTTACTCCGCGAGTAAAGTATTGGCTTGTTCCAGCGGCTCTACGGATCTTTTATTTCGGCACATAAAACCCGAGATGGAGATCTTATCCGTGTTTCAAGTTTTTCCACCACCGAACCGGCAACGGCCAATCGAGCGGAGCAGACTTTATTTAAAGGTCAAGATCCGAGGCTTTTATATTCAATGAGCCAGCCGATTAAAAGATCTTATTGTCCGAGATAAATACTTTGCCCGATTTCGATTCCTAAGGAAACGTTGGGCTAAGTAAGATTACGTTGAATTACGATTAGGATATTTCGTTTGTACGTATACGCGAAATCATGGCGGAAATATTTCTATGAAAATGAGCGGGTTAAAAGCAAGCGAAAGAGTGACGTGATTTTTAGACTCATATTTTTAACGCTAAACGTATCGGTATTTTACACGTACCTATTCTTACCATAAGGAGTTAAATGTGTACACTCGTGGTACATAAAGTATGCAAAGAATTTTTCTCGGTAAAATATAAGTTAAGAGAAAAACGGAAAACGAGAAATTAAATAATCGGATAATATAAAAATTTACAGAAAGTCAGATGAGCGAAAGGAATAACAATAAATGTACAATTATATGGTAAATTTTGAAAAAAAAGGGTCATTTAGTACGTTTAGCGTTAATCGTTAATTTTACTTTATTACTGGATAAGCACAGTTGTCTCTCAAAGTGTACGAATTATTCTTTTACGTAATAAAAAATCTACTGATCTATTTTAACCCTTTGCACTCGACGATTTTTCGGCTAGAGAAGAGTAGAAATTCAAAGGTTCTCTACTAAAAAATTGACGATACTTTTTCGAGCAGTGAATAAAGAATTGTATAATAACAAAATTGTAGAATTACTTGATTTCGATACCTCGCATACTGTTACATTGCATTAAATTTGATATATTAATTAATATCGATCTTCCAAATTTTATAAAATGGTGACTGAAGCTCACCTCTCGTGTACAAAGAGTTAATAAGCGTAATTCAGGAGATGAAAAATACACCAAAATTTGCAAACGATTTATTTTATTTCTTAACCCTTTGACTACTTTTGGCAGATTTTAAAACGCACTAGTCGTACCATACGATAGGAATCCATTTGCGATGTACACTGAGAAATTTTTCGTTATATGTGCATTTCTGAGAAATTATTGTACATTTAAATAATAATACTATATTCCACTGTATTAAAGCAACATTGTTTATTTCTTTCTATTCTGCATTAAATGGTTACTGTACATACTTAAAATTTAGCAGGAAATAAAATTATTGAGTATCTTTATGCGTCCACAGTAGTCAAAAGGTTAACGATCATCTATCGAATGAAATGAAGCTTGGAGCGTTAAATTTACCCCAAGGATTACAAAAATCCCGCACACTTCGAGTGACGATGTTTGAAATTCCATACCATCTGAACCACAAAAATTACACCGATACCGATCTCCTCGATTTACGCAAAAATGTACAGTTTCACCCTCCCCCAGTGTCCCCTGGATAACGCGTAAGGTGAAGCTGTTTTCGAATTGGCCGGGAGACAGTGAAAAGAGGAAGATTGGAAGCAACCCCAAGGTTCGCGGAATATTCGTTTGCCTTTTTCGCGAGAAAGAGAAGTGGCGTGGAGCGAGAGAATTGGAGAGAGTACTCACCGGTGGTGACCACGCTGGGAAGTACCCCAGTCGCGGTGACAGCGGAGGGTGTATCAGGGGCGACAGTGTCCGCGACCTGCGTCTGCGTCGGTCGTGGATCGTAGGTCGTGGTGCTGTCGACGTAGTCGGCGCTAAGCTCGTAGTTCGTCATCGCTTGATGATTGTAATAACCCGACCCACCCGTGCCGGGGCCGGGGGAAGCGTATTCGCTGCCGCCATACGTGTACCTGCGACAACAGATCGAAACGATATGACGAAGACGCGCACTTCCTGTCTAATAAAATGACGCGGGTTCAACGCTATGTGGCCGCCTGTCGCGATCGTTCGCGTGGGATAAAATTCGCGCGAGTAGAAATTTTTCTCTTGTTTTTCCTTTCCTTTTTTCGCGAGAAATTAGTCGACGATTAATTTTCGTCCGGAATTAACGGCGGAATAGATTTCTACCGGAATGCGAATGTTAATTAAAATTTTGAACGAAAGTAGACGTTGACAAGAGGGAGTCGTTAAGAGGGATCTGGTACTCGTTATTTTTGTACTTTTAGGAAGGCTAGTGGGCAGGAGATTGTACGAGACGAGAGTTAATGCAACGAAGGAGAATTAATCGTAAGGTAGTCTGTTTGAAAGTAAAATATACGACACGCGTTTGAGGAGTAATTACGTGTAAGACCGTTAATGTCGAACGTGTAAGGTTAGGCTCTACAGTTGTTATCGTTAACGTACTTGGATCGTATGAAATAGAGCCTCGATGCGATTGCGTTATTGCGTATTTATGGAATGCGCGATCGGCGATGTTATGTACCATGTTGGTTGTTAAGAGATAATTGTACAATTAGCGGCATGTATCTTTTGTTTAATTGAATACACGGATCGGTATATCTGATTTGGAAACGCAGCCGGCGCTGCATCCAGTATACTTTGAATTTCCTTATCTTATCTGCCTTTTTCTTTATTACGGGATCGCATGAAAAAAAAATCGCGCTAACGATTTCGTAACGCGGACCCTTTGTACCGTTTGCGAAATTATCGCGCCATTAAAAAGTGCGAAATTACCGGCAAGTTTGAGAGTAATTACGCGCGCGCACACTCGCGATACCCGCTTCTTCGCGCGTCCCCTTTCGTTTCTTTCTCTTTTACTCGGGAATATATTATATTATTCCGTCGAATTAAACATACCGAGGTTGATGCTATATTTTAGTTGCAACGTGCTTTCTTATCATCTAAATATCTCACGGTTCAATGAATATGCAATCGAGCCTTTGTTATACGATCCAGCGTGCTGTTAGAAGTTCAATATTATCGGCATGACTAACATATCGGATGAAACTTGAATCAACGATGTATTTGGAGTGTTATCTTTGCGCGGAAATATAGTATTCGTAATCGTGGTTACTTTTCGCGCAAAATAATAATTCCGCCATTAATAACCAATAAATTCCAATGCCTCGTAAAACGCACGCCGGAAGATTTCATTTCCAAGGAAGTAAAGTAAATTTAGATTTATCGATCGGTGACGTTTATTAAGTAATTAAAATTACTTCAGTATCGCTTACCCGCCGTTGAAAGGGTGATGCTGATCCGAACTGCTCGGGGTCTGATGTTCAAACACGCTGCTATCGGGCGCCGTCTCCGAGGCCGCTCTCATTTGTGCCTTGTGGAACCTAACTTCGTCCTCGACCTTCTCCCGCTGCTTCTTCGACATGCGCCCGAATTTAACGGCTGCAACACGAATCGCACCATTCGGGCCTACGTTACTTTTACGTTCACCCCGAAGCCTATTTAACCACGTAAACCTATTTTCCCTATGCGAGCCAGCCTATCCGAGAGTCGCCATGTTAGGAAAATTAGCAGACACCGTGGTCGTTCGATTTTTCAAACGTTTTTACCCTAATTACGCTCAACAGCGATAAATAATCATTTTTCATCCCGTCCCAATCGCAATTCCACGAGGTTCTACGTCTCGGGATCTCTAGATGAACTTCTGGGTGCAATTATCGATCGTTGCAGCGTTGAAATCTGAGAAATGCATAACAGTGCTCCACGTAAATACGAATCTTATCTATACTAAGGAAAATGAGAAAAGAAAAATAACGCATTTTTCCATTAATTCGAAGAGACCTGTGATTTTTAATTCGCCTCGTTACCAAGCCAACCACCATTTACCTCCTGAACGACTCTGTATAAGAGCTAAACACGCATTACACCGAGGAGAATCGTCGATTTCGAATCGACGATGTTTCCCCCGGGCATTTCGATCGCCTTATATATCGCCGAGTGAATTGATCGTTGTGTACGGGTTAATTGGCGAGCATCGATCCGATCGAACTTCGGAAGAGTGCGGCCTTAACGAAGATCGAAGATCCAGAGAGCCCCGTATGCTCCCGTTTATAAAGTGGTGGCTGAACGACGCTGCAAAGAAACGTTCTGATTCGAAGAACGCGGAAGTTCTTTGCATCTCGCGGACTTCTTCGTCGTTATCGCCTGCTCAGATGCACCCACCCATCCCGGTGACGTCACCGCGCCACGAACACCGGCGTAGACGCGTGTGCGCTCTCGCGCGCGTGCGAGCGAGCGCGAGCGCGCGATACGCTACGTCACGCGAGCGTTCAACAACCGCTAGAACCTGAATCGCGTTCGTCTTCCTTTTTCTTCCGTCTTCTCCAGTTTCTCAAGTTCATTCGCCAGTTCGGCCGGGACGCGCCTCTTTTCAAACGAGCCATTGTTGCCGCGGCTGCTGATCGCTTCGAAAATTGATCTTCCTTCCGGGGAAATTCGAGTCCGTGCGACTCGAAACGGGACGAGGCGTGGAACGGGGCCCGGAACGGCGACACCGAGCTTCTAATCGTGTTTCTTCGGAGTTTCATTCGCGGGATTAATTCGATTAATTACGAGAAGTTGTCAGGATCGATCCTGCAAGTTTCGTCCGAGTGATTTAAACTTCGATCGGTACCGGATGAGACGAGCAACGAGACGAGTAAAGAGACGAGTAATCGCGTTCGTCGCAGGATTTCAATTTACGCGAGTAACGTAATTGACGAGAGGAAGATGGCGGAACTGGATCGATCGACGAAGGTCGTCCTCGATGATTTCCACGATCCCTTCGGTCCCGCAGCGTGGATCGTTGATCGTCGAGAGAGCTATAATCGAGCAGATACGAGGCTTTAAAAGAACACTGGCAGCTCGTTTCAACGATCCCCATCTACTCGGCCGCGAGTGCTTTCGTTACCCTCGAGCGGGCATTCCGAAGCGTTAAAAATAGGCCCAATCGAGGGGGTCCTACGATGATTCGAGTTCGGACCACTACCTAGGGTTAGACGAGCTTCGACCCTTGGGCAACTTATCGGACGTCGTCCGCGGGTAAATCGTGTTTATAATCGAGAAGTCGCGAGTCGAAACTCGGTGTGACCCTTCCGAGAGCGCGATCGAAACACGCGTCGTTGGAATTACGAGTGGCGCACGATGCTGCCCCGCGGAAGCCGAAAAACGAAGCGTGGCGCCAGCCAGGGAAGCGGCGCTTCCGCTCGTGCTCCCTAAAACGCATTTCAATGCAGTGGCGACGAATCTCGACCGGTCTGTTGCGCGACGACACACGCGTGACTTCACGCACACGCGGTGCCATCGCGAGCTGCCGCGCCGCGCCACGCCGAGACGGGCCGGGGGTGTTGGGCGTCGCGAGCGCGAGAAAGAGGAGACGAGCATCGGCGATCGGCTGACTGGCGGGAAAGGGGCAGAGAGAGAAAAAGAGAGAGAGAAAGAGAGAGAGAGAGAGAGAGAGAGAGAGAGAG